AAGATATTTTCCAACTCATGGAACCCATTGCAATGAACCACATTAAAAGGCAATTTGTATCAGTTCCTTGCCTATTTTGATAACATTTTGGTCCACTAAGTCGCCAAATTATTTCTAACTATGCCTTCTTATCCATCAATCAAAACAAAAGGAATTGATTCAACTTGACTTTGACTAAACTACTTGGGCAGTTTTAACGTATATCCCCCCACTTTGTTTATTCCTTTAGTTTGACCGCTCACAATTTCCAAGACTAGAATCTGCACAGATCTGCACTTGCAAGTGTGTTGCTTCCCGTGCTGTGCTGACCTTTAAATCAGCACTTAGTTCACTTAGGTGGTTTTGCCTCTGTAATCTGATAAAGCAGCAGGCAAGTTGTGTGCAAATATAAATGTGTGCCAAGAAATGAGCGAAAAACGAGTGATGTTTATGCCCTTTTATAGTCCTGATTCTATGACAGTCTTAACTAAAAACAGAGTGTAAGGGAGGGAAAATAATTTAAAACAAAGCAAAGCAAAAGGAAAGGAGACGGTGAAACATTCCAAATATATAATATGAGACATTAAAATGCTAATTATATTCAATTAATTCTGGCATTTTATGAAAATCAAATATTTCATAATGGAAAAAGAAAATATATGTAAAAAGTGAATAGAAACTGACAAAAGACAGCATGCCATTTTGGCATATATAAAGTCCTCCTGGTTGTAATAACCATTAGATTAAGTGACAATTACATGCAAAGTAAAAGGTAATTCAAACATCTGATTTTTTATGGTTGTTTTAAAGTTCTGTTAATCCCATTGAACACCCATTTAAACACAATTCACTTTCTGAACTTTTTACATGGATAAACATTGGCTTTCATAATGCACTTCACTCTTCCTCTTATTCACCAGGATGTCAGTTTTCTATTTAAATTGATTAACTAAGATAAAATTAAAAAGAGGCAACACAGTTCTCAAACTCTTTTGCTTGCATAGTAACAGCATATTAAATCTCATAAGTCCAAGATGTACTACAGCATTAAAAGTATATGAAGGAGAAGTAGTCATTTTCAGCATTATTTCTTTAAATTTTTTTCTTTGCATTATGAAAAATCCAAATATTGATTTTAGTACTACTTCTAGAAGACTCATGGAAGAACCACAAAAATAACATTAAGGGCAATATTTTACCAACAGAGCAGAGAAATGACAGTTCTGTTCCAGCTGTAGGATAATTCTTGATTATCCCCCCATTTCATTAGTGAACAATGGGGCGCACAATGAAAACCGATCTGAGACACTGATAAAAAAAAGACAAAATATACTGAAAGATACTAGGAAGGAACAGATTTCCAAACTCAACATGCATTGCTAGGAATTCTTGTTTTCTTGGGACTTAATATCTGGACGTGTAACCAACAAAGTCACTTTATGGGAATGCAGGAATATTACAGAAATTTCTTGTGTGTTCTTTCAGAAATTCTAAGGTACTCCTAGTAAATGGCATCAAAATAACAGAAGACTATGAACAGCTTTTCTTTCTTAAAATGGTGGCTAAATAGATGACATCTCAGCTTCTGGAAAGAGAGCCTTTGGTTTTGTTAATGGGCACGAAGTAAGGTTCCTTTCTAATGCTCATTTTCATCTGCATGCTGAGTATTATCATTGTGACTGAGAAACTTAAACTGTATTCTTAATATACTGAAGCCACATATTTTCCCCTCATCCCTATTCTCGACAGTAATCTTGAAAAAGAAAGTCTATGCTATTAAGAGTTAAGGGATTTCAGAATCTCTGGAGGAACCAAGTGGTTTAAGTAAAGCATATTCAAAGTCATTATATGCTGCACTGTGTGGGGAAAACAAGCTTTTCAGAAAACCATGAGCCAAGAAAGTTAAACTGTTCATCTTTGATTGAAGTTCTCATATGAGAGATTCACAAAGAGCAGAGTTATTCCCCGCCTCTTTAAAATATTAGACACTCTAAGGACAGTTCTACATGTGATATAACTTGGGCAGTTCTACATGTGACATAACCATAGGCAAAACCTGCAAAAGTGCTCTCCAAATTGTTGAAAAAACTAACTACACTATAATACTCTCAATTTAACTTTCACATTTATATTAAAATTAAACTTCAGAACTCCAAGTAATTATGAGCATCATACTACCAGTATTGTATATAGTGAGGCTCCACAGAAGTTTAACTTAAAGATGTTGTTAAATAAGGAAAAAGGTGAAGACTGCAAGGAGTTTGTGTCTTGAAGAACAGTCTGCTGCATGAATAGTCCCCAAAGAAAAACATTTTCATAAAATTCTGCTAAGGAACTTGGTAGCATTTAATAAAATGTCTTCTTATTTCCCAAACTGAATCCCATGACCTTCCCAACAAAATATGAACCAGCTGCCTTGATAACAACACAAATCTCCTAGGACTGTACTAGAACTTTGTGAGAAAGAAAACCATCACCTTCCTGTGAATCCAATCAAAACCCGAATGTGCTGTATAAAAATAAACCAAGGTCATCATTATTTCTTCTCATTGTGATTTGGCTTGCTATCAAATTACATACCCTGTATATCTGAAATAACTCTCCCGCCTCCATTAACTGAGTTTGACATCACTTTAATCAATGTATCTTTTCAGAATGAAAGGCAGAAATGTCAAATTCCTCCCATTATAAATTCTTTTAACTCTCTAATCTGCATTAAGTAAAAGGCTGTATTTGAGAAATAATATATGCCTTAAAGAAATATAGTTTGCATCAAAATTATTCTAAGATATGACTGGGAAAAGATTCAACCACAAAGATTCTTCACACCGAGGTGATTTCCATGAAACTTTTAAAGATTTAGTCTTAAAACTCATTATATACACTGGCTCATCTGAATGTCTGACCAAATTTTATAGTTATAATTTTTATTATGTTTTCTGAGTTCCCTTCCTTCATATTTATAATGGGTAGATTCATAAAATTTGAAATCTAATCTTTTTTTTGTGGTTTGTTATATCTTGTCAGATGGGACACATCTTAATCTCATCAATTATTTTAAAAATATATATTAAAAACCCAAACAGAAGTCATGAACAGAGAATTATCTTAAAGGAAGATAAATTTTCAACTAGATTTTCTTAAGCAACTTAGCACTATATTTTAAATTTGTATTATATTTTATATACAGACATATATTCTCATACCAAAATATAATATTCTTAGAATTATTATAGATTAAATAATCTACTGAAATATGAAATTTTAAAAAATTAAATTAGGGAAATATCACAGTAGAAGGTGACAGAATAAAAATTTGAGAAAGTACTTTGTTTTATTTTTATGATAAAAATAACAGTTAAGACAATAAAATAGAAAACTTTAAAACCTAACTTCAAAAAAAAGTTTCAATCTCCTTTTATTAAAGCACACAGTTGGCTATAAACCTGATAAATTTTTTCACATGTAGCAAATAAGTTAAAATACAAGTCCCCAAATGAATACTCTAGGACTACAGAGGAAGATAAAATAATCCCTTTGCACAAATTATCAATTTATATTTCAGTTCTTTCTAGCTGTATTACTAGTATCAAACAATACTTCTTAAAAAATAAATTTTCAAAAAACATGGTGTTGTGAGTAGAATTTTTCAGATTATAATTGATAATCTTAAAAAAGTCACTCTCATTTGAGAATTATTAAATAGGATATTCTAGGTTTTTCTTGTTTAACTTCAGAAATGTATTTTATTATATTTATCAATTGAGAACTGGTAAGTGGTTTTAACTTTGTAGGTATGTGGATGAATAGATTCACTGTTGTATGCATATTGTAAAGAACAATTGTATGTCATTATGTACTTGAAGTTTTAGCAAATGACATTTTTAGTTAGAAAACAATAGTGATGCTCACCCAAGGTATTCATAAAATAAATAAGTTACATTAAAACTAGTTTCAGATCAGGTAGGACCTGATTATTATTAATAAATACAAACTCACAATGCTAATTTCACAAATTTTTCTCAGAGGCTAAACTTCTATTCTGAATCATTTTCCAGAAGTTTAAAGTAGAAATTATGAGCTAATTTTTTCATTTTTAATTATAGGCATTGCCCTCATACCTATTTCTGTATAACCATAACCCACAAGTCAAAGGACAGAAAAAACCTTCATCTCTTTGGCACACATTGTACATCTCATACATTATACATACTATTTTTACAACAAGCCACAGTAATTTTTAATTTTTCATTAGTCATCATGACTTTCTTAATATACAAAATAATTGTATCTTTTTTTATAAAAGTCAAACTAAAAAGCATTACTAAAAAGTTAGGTCATTAACATATATGAAAGAACATTATAACCCTTTGGTGAACTACTATTAGACATCCCCAGTGGTTGATGTTCTTTACTGGCATAACCAGTCATCTGCTAGAGCATATAGTGCCATTAATTGAAAGAAATTTCATGATATGTTACAGAAAAGACTATTTCATGCTATATAAGAAAGGGACTTTAAAAAAATATGACAATATTTTTCCCAACTTCCATTTACCAGTCTTGACTCTTCTGTATTTCCCCCAATGAACTTCTAGACTTTAAAACTTTAAGTTTCCACACATTGTTTCTATAAAGCAATTAGTTCATTGTGAAAATGTCATATTCACTACCTCAGTTGTAAGCATTACAAAATACTTACATTTCCAATAATCAAGATAACTAAGACATACAAACTGTTTTCAGCAAGTAAAATGGTTTGTTACAAAAGTCTACGACAGTAATGAATAAAAAGGATTGATTACATCTGCAAAGAAAGATGTTCAAACACCGCCTCTCTTCTACTGAAGTTTTCCAACAAGAAATGTATACCTGCATATATATATGTCAGTATATATGCATTTAAGCTTATTCATAGAGCTGGAATAATTTAAAGTCAATCTGTCTTAACTACTGAGCTTGTCACAAACAATGCTATGACATAGTTTAAAACACATATATTTTAGTTACTTTGTACTTACAACAATCCTCTACTTCTTCCCACCAAATCATTTGGGGAGAAAAGAGTGTATCAAGGCAGCAATAAAAATCTTGGTAAACTTTCTTCCAACTTTATTTCTCCAGTAGTAGATTTAGGAGTGATGAGAAGCCAATAAACATCAGCAGCCTTAAGAAAAATAATAATCAGTTTTCCCTATTAGTTTTCTTCCGAAGCCAATTGTCTCCAAGATCTGAGCTCTGAAAGGGGAGAGTGAGTGATCCTAACCCTGAGTGAGTCAACATGGTAACTGAAGCCAGGATTCTGTAAAGGCCCCTGGATATTTCACATTCCAGGACCTGCGCAGAAGCCAGTGACCCGCCTTTTCTCTCAAGTTGGTTTCCCATAATAGGACTGTCCATGGACACTACATATAAGGTTGTGCTTCCCGCATGGCAAGCCTTGTGAGTTCAAATAATGTGCAACTGTGTCCTGATTAATATCCAAACCAGAATAGCACAGTGGACTTGGTACTGGTGCACAAAGAGTTCTAAACATAAAAACTTTTCAGAGCTAAACTCTGACAATACTTTCTGTATCTTCCATGCACTTCTAATGTGACAGCAGAAAAATTCTGATAAAGAATAAACTTTCAAAAACCTTTCCTCTTTATTTTTCTCCTCTCAGCTCTAAAAAATTTGCTTCACTGAACAAAAAGAAATGCGCCAAATAATCTATGCATTCGTTATTTATCCACTGTCTGTCTCCCCAACTTAATTTCTACCCTGGGGAGCCAATCAAAAGTCATGTATTGGTGATGCCAACAGTATGAATAAGAGAAGCAGCAGCAGAATTCGGCAGCTGAGCTCTGAAGGTGAAGTATGTACAAATCTCATGGGACAAGGTTTCTGTGAAAATAAAGAAAACTCCTAACAGAACCAAGAAATGATTATCCTGAAATGCTAAATTTGCAGGGTAGCTTATGACAAAAACTTAATTGTTATTAATAAAGTACTTTTCCTGAAGTTCTCTGGTGATCATTATTAAAACACCATTCTCTCAGAGAATGCCTTTATAATCAATTATTTAATGATTCCAGTTAAAGTTTTCTTTACTGTCAAATGAAAACAGTTGAAATATTTCATTCAGGGGCTACAAGATAGTGCAATGGATGTCATCGATCCTGGGTACCATGTGGTCCCCATAGCATTCTCAGAGGCATCCCTGGAGGAGGCTGAGCACTACCAAGTAGTAGAAGAATATAATTCCCACTCAGGACTGGAGCAGTGACACATCCTCAGGCACTCAAATTGAACCTGCCACACTGGTTGAGACTCATCAGAGGCCCCCTGAGCTTGGGAGGACTTGGGAATCCCCCAACAAAATGCAAAAGCAAAAATGAAATGTTATTCAGAATATGTGAAAATCACTGACTGGTTTCACTGGTTGCATTGGCACTCATTTTTTCATGTGAAGTATAAAATTGCTTGGCACAGAAATAGAGAAACAGAAAACCTGGCATGTTGAGCCAGACTGCGATATTTACCTTAATAGGTAATGACATGTTTTATTTATTTATGGTTGGGAGGGGCAATGTTACCCCACAACTGGCAGTGTTCAGTGCTTGCTCACAACTCTGTCCTTAGAGATTGCTCATAAGTAGTGCTCAGAGGACCATACGCATAGTCAGGAATCAAATAGTTTGTGGCATACAAGGCATACACCTGATCTAATTTAATATCTTTCCGGGTTTGATGCATTTTACAATTTAGGATGTCATTATCATCATGTTACCTCACCAACCAAAACTGTATGGAACAAAATATAAGATGCAATTCTGATTTAAGTAATTATATTTAAGTAATTACTATTTAAATAGATTTAACATGCTCTTCTCAAAAAATTAGTATCAGTTGAAACACACTCTCCTTGTGTTGTATGGTTATGTAAATGTGCAACAAGTTCATAAAACATATTGGAAAATGGTTGAGCCTGATATGAACCCAGATTTTTATGTTAGAATCAGTGCTATACTCTGGTGGAGGGATGGGTACTCAATCATTGTATAACTGAAACCCAAGCACAAAAATTTGTAAGTCTACAACTGCACCCCATGGTGTTTCACTAATAAAATTTAAAAAAAAGAATCAGTGCTATACTATATTTTGTACTATAGAGTATAAAATTGTTTCTCTTTCTTTTTCTCTCTCACATGCAAATATATTTTTCCTTTACATATTTTAATGTAAGTTTCCTATTGACAAGTCCAGTTATAGTCCAGGGCATCTATAAAGTTTATTATGGTTCTTAACGCAGGCTGGAGTGATAGCACAGTGGGTAGGGCATTTGCCTTACATGCGGCCAACCTGGGTTCGATTCCTTTGTCCCTCTCGCAGAGCCCAGCAAGCTACTGAGAGTGTCTCTCCCACACAGCAGTCTATCAAGCTCCCCGTGGCATATTTGATATACAAAAAAAAAACAGTAACAACAAGTCTCACAATTTGTTGTTAGATGTTACTGGTGCCTGCTTAAGCAAATCAATGAACAATGGGAAGACAATGCAGAACAGTACAGTGATATTTGTGGATCTGTAATAAATGTTATCTTAATGTGGAAATCTTCATAGGACTGTGATGGTAGTAAAGTCTTGGTGAAAACACATGCTTAAAATAACTGCAAAAAGTGAAAAGTACACACACATACACACATATATATGTATATATATACACATACATATATACATACATATATGTTTGAGTTCAACATAGAATTCTGGTCCAGACCTTGTCATTAATCTACTGTGGTCCGCAGTCACACCCTTCTCTCATTTTATTCTCACTATGGTTGCATTAGATAGATCTTAGGAAGGAACCACATTAACAAGATGACTGGACAAAGAATTTTTCCAAATACTTTTGCTACTAATTTCCGGGGCAGAGATTTGAAAGGGCTTACTTTAATTTATTATTTTTATTTTCAAATTAAAAATTTACAAAAAGTTGCAAACATAGTACAAAGCAGTCCCATATACTCTTCACCTAGTTTCCTATAATACAATATGAATATCAGGAAATTGGCATTGACATATGTATATGCATTTCTGTTATTTGATCATGTGCAGTTTGTGGAGATACAACCTCAAGTTGTTTTGTCACCACAGAGATCTTCCATTGTGATATCTTCACAATCCAATCAACTACAAACCAGTTTCACACTCACTAATTTGCTTTCCATGAATAAAACCGTGTTATTTCAACACTTTGGATAAAGAGTATTATTCAGCATGTAATATCCAGATATTGGCTTCATTGGGCTTAGGACAGTGTCCTAAACATCTATTTATATTATATTCATAAAATGTGTGCAATGTTATTGTTGAGTGATATTCTAAGCTATATTTATACATGCATTAAAGCTTAATAATTCATTACTTGTAGGGCAGTTTGTATTTTCTACCATATTTTGGTTACTACAGAAGGGCTGAATTATAATCATACATATATTATTATTTATTATATACACACATTTTATTTAACACACAGTTTATTTTTTTTGTAGGAATACTGCTATTTATTCAGCCACTGATTAGCTGATTGAATTGGGCATGAAGTCCACCTTATTTTTTTAATTTTATTTATATTTTTCTTTGTATATTTATTTATTGAATCACTCTGGGAAAAGTTACTAAGCTTTCAGGTTTAGGTCTCGGTCATACAATGATCAAACACCTTTCTGTTCACCACCAAGAACCCCAGTATACCCCCCTCCCACCCTTCCAAATGCCTGTGAGGCAGATGATTTCTACTTAACACTTTTCTACATTGATGAAATTCATTATTTCGACAAAAGATGCACCATTATTGTTTAGAAATTCCCCCCCCCCAACAATCAGAATTGCTGAAAAGACATTGTGAAATACTTTGTTTTCTATAGCTGGTTATGAGAATCATATAATGTCACATGGCCACGATTTTGGATTGTCTGCAAAGAGCCAGATAATTACAAGATTGGTTTCTGTGTGTCTGGTGTTATGGCTGTGCTGGAGAGCCACTCGTGGGGGGCAACTCCTGACCTCAGTAGGGCATGGAGGACGAGCCGGTACCGTCCCCCTTCCCATGAGACTGCAGTTGCCCCATCACTGCCGGCTCATACCTGGCTTTCCTATAAGCTCTTAGGCGGCGGTCACCTTGCTGCCAGGGGGGAAAAAGGCAGAAGGGAGCAACATCCTTTCCCTTCCGGGGAGGCATGGTGCCGTATTTTAATGCATGGTCCATTCGCTTTTCTGCTGCAAGCTGCTGGGCCCTGGACTAAGTCCTTTTGTCTCTGGAGCCATGGCTGAACACACAGTTTATTTAACACACATTTTATTTACCATTCATAATGCCTTAGAACTAAAACTACTAGTTCTTATGGTGAATATACATTTTATTTTTAAAAAATATTGTGTGGTTGGAGAGTTACTACAAAAATTATTGCATGGAGCTGACCTCAGTTCGATCCTCAGCACTAAGGCCTAATAACTCCCTCCAAATGAATAACCCAAAGTGATATTATCAAAACATTCTCAAGAGGTGCTGTACTGTTTTGCATATCCACTAGCAATATGTAAGGGATCCAATATCCCCACATTCTCCTTAGAAATTTGTGTTGTAATCTAGTATTTTCATCTTTTTATGTCTTTTGTGTGTACAGGTTTATTACGATCATTTAAGTTTAAGTTGTCTTAGTGATTCATGATATTCAGTTTCCCATTTTAGGCTTATTTGTCATCAAAATATAATTTCCAGTGAACTGTATGTTTATACTTTTACTTATTTCACAATTCAACAGTTTTCTGCTAATACATTCACATACATATATTTTAGCATATATTTTAGTATAAGTTTATACTTTATATATTTTAGTATTTATTAAACTAATTTTAGTGTATTCTAGATATAAGAACTCTGTCGAAGTTGTAGTTTGCACATACATTCCTTAATTTTTATCTGTCTTCCCATGTTACTTTTTTGGGAGGAGGACACACCTTGAAGTGCTCAGAGCTTATTCCTAGCTCTGTAGTACAGGATCACTCCCAGAAGGGGGTTGAGGGACCACATAGGGTTCAGAGCAAATGCCCTAACCACTGTACTCTCACACTGACCCCTCCATCAGTTTGTTAAAGAAACTCCAAATGAAATATTTTATTTTGTTATGATCTTCTACTTAGTGATTTTTTCCTAATATGGAAGGTGATTTGGCTCTCATTTCATA